AAAAATTGTAAGAAAGGGATCTGAAAAAAGACAACTGACAAACTTCTCCTACACATACACTACCAGTGTCACACTTCAGGAGGCCTGCTCCTTCTCACTCTCCTCTTTGGCCACATTTTACAGACACATCCACTTTAGGGAAAAACAAGGCAATGAACAGAAATCCATACATGCCTATTGGGTTATCTTGTGGGAAAGAATGTTTGATAGCTGTGAAAAGGGGATATAAAGCTAAGTGGAGTTGAAGTAGAAACTAACAGTATGACTTATCCTCATCACTTTAAGAATGCAAAAACAATTTTTAAAGAAGTGGTTGACATATTAATGCCAACAGAAGCAGATATGATGGTAAAAACAGTCAACAGTGGGTTTACATGTAATATAACAAGAAGGGGGAATGTACTGGGTTTGTGCAAAACAGCAGAGGTAGTCTTGATAGTGTTCAGCATCCTCACAGCCTGGTAAATGAAGCTGTTCTGTAAGTCTGGTGGAGTGGGCCTGAGGACTCCAATACCTTCTCCCTGAAGGCAGGAGTCTGAAGTGGGAGTATGAGGGGTGGGAGGTGTCATCAGTAATGCTGTTGGCTCTGTGGGTGAGGCTGGTGTTAAAAATGTCTAAGGAAAGGCAGAGGGGCGCCAATGATCTTGCTGGTTGTATTCATTATGAATGAATGTCAAAATAAGTTTCTGACAAGATCACTGGCCAACCTTCAGAAACCTCAATTTACAATTTAAGCAGCTCACAATTTAAGCATGCTCAAACTGGCTGATGGTATCTTCACTGAGTCCTTGCATGTCTTATATGGAGAATACAGTGCTAATGCCTGCTCTGTAACAGCCAGTTTAGATGGAACAAGCTAAAAAAATGCTATTGTTCATCAGTCAGGTTTATTGTTTAACCAAAGTCATGATGGTCTGTTTGTTGCATTTGTCATGGATGTGTTTTGTATGTTTTTGTTATGGTGTATTATGTACGACTGGAGAAAGCATATGTTATTTGTGTTGTAACTGTGCATTCTGCATCTGCCTTCAGAACACAAAATGAATTTCACTGTAAAACTGACAGTGAAGTTACATTGCATTGTATTTGTCCAATAATTAATCACTGCGACAACAGGAGCTGACATATATGAAACTGGTTTTATGTTGACTGTAAAGCAGATGTGTGTGTACGTTCCCTGGCTCATTTAGATGTAATAACTCTAATAAAACACTTGAGGTCACTATAAGACCACATTGTTTCTGGAGTGATCCTCAAGTTTGCTGGAGAAAGTTGAGGAGTTTACTCTGCAGAATGATGATCATTGACTATACTATACAACACTATTCCTAGTTTTATTAAATGGATTTCAGAATATACAAGCACTATTTTAAATATTCTACACACTGAAAAATCAGTCATTGTAATTTAAGCTCTGAGGATTATATCATGATTAAAATAATACAATCATTTTCACCAGGCTTCATCAGTTTCCTCCTCACCAGGAAAATAGTCATCTTTGTTTTCTGACACCATTATTGCATTGTGTCACTGTGTCTTTCTTGCAGCTGAAATACAGAAATACAACTCAGTCTTAATTACAGCATCAGGATGCTTCACTGGTGCCTTACTAAAGTTAATATCCACCGGATCCAGCTGTATTATGGCAGGTGGAGTCATTTCAGCTATGTTCACCACCTCTGTGACAACAGCATCTTAAATGACAATATTCATATGCAACTTACTTACAGTACAATGAATTGCTACTAAACTTGACTTATACACAGCAAAACTAGGTTTTGTGTGGTCATGCTTCTATACAAATTTAATGCACATTTAAGCAGATGTCCAGGAATGTGCGAAATAAAAGGGGAATGAATGCACTGTGAACTACTGTCATGTGAGTGTCAGTGGCATTGAAATAAATAGGTGGAGCTAATTCTCCAGTGCCATTAAACCACTGCAGAAATAGAGGACACAATGAGATGATGTCATTAAACGAGGTCCGTGGTTTGACCGGAAATGATGGAAGACTATGTGGAAAACACAATAAAAACTTGACACGCAGTAATTGTTTGGTTTGTATATTAATGTCTTCTCATGATGCCACACAGAGTCAATTGTTTAATTTCTTCACTAGAAACCTGAGTGGTGTTTAAGTCACATGCACATCCTCATGCATTTACTGTCTGTTTTTTTTTTTTTTTTTTTACAAAAGACTGAACAAAACTGCTGTTGATTTCATGGGTGAGTTCCTGAAATTGTGCAAACTCAATCCAATTAGTGTAAAAGTTGCATAAACCTATTCTATTTGAAATGTATGTTGGCAATGAACGGCTTTGGTTGCATTAGTGTTACTTTGTGTCTAAGGAAGATTTATATAAGAAATAAAAGTGAAACTGGAATCATTCATCATGCTTACTGTGACACAATACATGGGCGAGCAAATATTGGGCCCAGGGATCCTTCTCTTTTCTGACGCTCATCTTTCGGGTCTGACCATGGCATTGGTATTTTTCTCTACTGATCTGATTCAAAACCTCAGATAACAGCAGGCCTACAAAATATGTGTTACCTAAATTATTTGATGTATGAACCTTACAAGGAAGTTTTAAAAATCTCTTATAACTGGATGAGTACTACAGGTGAAAAGAGACAAATTGTTATTACCCTAACATGAACATAATAAGAATTATCCCCTCATCCACTCACAAATACAAAACACACATCTTGCTATTCTTCCTAAGGTGGTGATGAAAAGTAAAGCAGAATAAAAATAAAAATAAATAAACATGATAATCTGTTGATAACACACACACACACACACACACCATCATCATCATCATCATCACCATCCATGTACCCCCACTGTGAGTCAATCAGTATCTCCTGAAAGATAATGGTAGTGGTTGTGACCGTGTGTGTGTACGTGTGCGCTTCATTCATTATGGATGAGCACCCCCAGTGCTTTCCACCAGTGTCAGATGAGCTTTTCCTCTCATAACCACTCAAATGAAAAAAGAAGCTACTCTCTTTTTCCTGAGCTCTGCTCATAGCTGATGTTAATGTGGTATAAAGGCTGCAGACTGAGTCATGAAAGAAATTCAACTCAATGAATGGACTGAGGACTGAAAAGACTGCAAGTTTTCCTCTCTGTGTTGGAATAAAAGTAGCAACATTTCATTAAAACTTTGTCCTATGCATATGATATCTCCCATTTGCTGTGTTCTCCAAATTTGAGAACAAACATCCACCCTAGTTGAACTTTTGTCTTGAAAATGTCCAGGAATTGTTTGTTCTAGCTGAGAATAAACTCTAGAAGAAGGGGAAAACTGCAAGCGTAGGTCCTTTATAGTGATACACAAAGATACCACACTGAATGCAATGCTTTCTACTGACTGACAGATTTAGCTCTGTCAGGCAGAATATTCTGTCTTGGCTCGTTGGTCTAGGGGTATGATTCTCGCTTAGGGTGCGAGAGGTCCCGGGTTCAAATCCCGGACGAGCCCTTTAGAAGAACACAATTTTGTTCTCCATTGAATGCACAGTGAGCCTTATGCAAGTACTATGACAACATGCTTCTATGCTAGGTGTGAATCAACTAATGCAACGTTGTTTTTTTAGACCCTGAGTACCAGTAACAAGAAGTCCTTCAGAGGTCTAAAGACTACTGTTTAAAGGCAAGCCCAATTTCAACATCAACAGAGGATGCTGTCTCAATAGCACTACACACAGCCCTGTCCCACCTGGAGCATCCTAACACTTATATCAGGATGCTATTTGTTGACTTCAGTTCAGCATTTAATACTGTAATCCCAGACAAAATGGCACTGAAACTGCACAATCGGAATATGCCTGCAGTGATGTGTCATTGGATTAAGGACTTTCTCACTAACAGGCCTCAAGTGGTGAAGCTGCACATCATCCACCCTGGTCCTGAGCACAGAAACACCACAGGGCTGTGTGCTCAGCCCAGTTCTCTTCACTCATGACTTACCCATGACTGTGATGCCATTCACTCCACAAATACAGTAGTGAAGTTTGCGGACGACACCACCGTAGTGGGTCTCATCTCAGACAATGATGAGACTCAC